CCCCAAAACCCCAAAACCCCAAAACCCCAAAACCCCAAGAGGCAGATTGGTTAAGAATGGTGAATGGTTGTAAGTTGAGTCGAATTTTAACTGCGAAATAAAACTTTTAACAACAGAGATATTGATATAAATTAAAATGGGAGTCATAATTACATCATGCTGCGAGAAGCAGTTTTCTCCTCCAGAACGCAAACACGAAATCGAAACATCCTATGTCAGAACGGAATCAGCTCGCAGGATACTTTCATTCAAAGATTTCAAAGGCTTCAAGAAAGTCCACGATATAGGTGACTATTATAAGTTTGGGTAGAGATTAGGACAAGGATCATTTGGGGAGGTGCTGAAAGCAGAGCATAAAAAAGCAGCAGTCACTTGTGCAGTCAAGATCATAAAAAAGTAAAAGATCTAGGAACACCAAATACTAATTGATCTAATGCACAATGAATTGAAAGTGTTAGAGGAAACAGTAAGTAGCATATATATTCTTAATCAATGCTAATTATGCTTGTTTAGACACACCCACATATAATGAGAATATTTGAACTATTAGAAGACAATAATAACTATTACATTGTCTCTGAACTACTTAACGGCGGAGAGCTGTATGAGAGAATAGTACAGTTGAAGTTCTTTGATGAGTCAAACGCCGCGTACATTATATATTAGTTGTTGCTTTCACTTTGCTATATGCATTCCAAGAATATGATTCATCGGTATCTTCCTTTAACAACTTATTTTTTGTATAGTGACATTAAACCGGAGAATATACTGTTGGAAAAGAGTGATTCAAACAGTTTAGACATTAAAATTACAGATTTTGGTTTTGCATGCTTTTATGATCCGAAAGAGGGATTAAATGATGTATTGGGAAGTCCTCTATACATGGCACCTGAGATTGTGCGTGAAGAGACATATGATGAAAAAGTAGACACTTGGAGTGTAGGAGTGATCGCTTATATCTTACTGTGTGGAAGTCCTCCATTCAAGGGTAAAACTAAGTCAGAGATGTTCAAGAGTATAATAAATTCTGATGTGACATTTGATCGTAAAATATGGGAATAAATATCTCCTGAGGCCAAAGATTTCATTAGCAAGGCTCTAATAAAAGACAGTAAACTAAGATATGATGCAAAGTAATTAATAAGCCATCAGTGGATCTATAAAAAAGTAAAGCAACCAGATGTAAATTAAGGGGTCTAGCTAGATGTTGCAAATAATCTTAAGGAATTCAGGGTATAATTTTGTTGAGTTAATTATTTTAGAATACAACAGTTTTCCAGAGTGGTATTCTTTCCTTCATCGTGGGATTAAAGGCATCATCAGAGGAATTAGAGGAACTTAAGAATTTATTTATCAGATTAGACACATCGAAGGACGGTACATTATCAATTGAAGAACTCAAGGAAGGTATGGAGTAAGTAGTTCAAAAGATTGGCACACAAAAAGCAATGGAATATGAAGACCTAATGCGCAGTCTTGACAAAGACGGCAATGGAGTGATAGATTATACCGAATTTATAACAGGCGCAATAGACAAAGTTGCTCTCCTGAACATAAAAAATCTACAGGCTGCATTCAGGATGATAGACCAGGATAACTCAGGCATGATTACTATTGATGAGTTGAAAGCTGTATTCGATACTGGTGGAGATAAAAAAGATGAGAGTCTTTGGATGGAGATTATGAGTGAAGTAGATAAAAATGGTGATAATCAGATTAGTTTTGAGGAGTTTTAGGATGTAATGACTTCTCTTCTGAAGAAAAAGCATTTATGAATAAAGTTATAGCATCTCAGTTTTCAGCCTGAGATGATTACAATTTGATTAACTGACTGGCTTGCCTGTAAATAATCATCAAGCAAGTCAAAAACCTATACTTAAATGATTAAGCTACTAGAAATATTACTACAATGCTACAATTTTTGGATTTAAGAATATTCATTTGCATTACTATCTTATAATTCATCGAGTGGGGTTTTGGGGTTTTGGGG